GATGGGTTTGCTTTATGCACAGTCAACTAAAACAATGTTTTCTGTGTTCAACGTTCTGTGTTTTAAAATTAGAACTTCTTGGAAATAAACTTTTAGTTTCTTTGTTTGAATAAAAAATAGGAAACCTCAAAAGGAACAGAAAATATATGCAGTATGCTTGACTGCAAGCTTACAGTCAATTCCCTTTCCATAGAATCACCTATCTAGAAGTTCGAAGAGACCTCTAGAGATCATCTAGTCCAGCCCACCTGCACAAGCAGCATCACCCAGACCACATTCCTCAGCATCACATCCAGGCAGGTTTTGGGTAACTCCAGAGAAGGACATTCTGCAACCTCCACAAAAGTCAAGAAGTTTTTCCCTCAAATTCAGGTGGAACTTCCTGTGCTTCAGCTTGTAGCCGTTGCCTCTTGCCCTATTGCTGGTGACCCCCACGGAGAGTTTGCCCCCCTACTCTTGACACTCTCCTTTAAGGTATTTGTACACATTGGTAAGATCCCGTCTCAGCCTTCTCTTCTTTAGGCTTAACAGGCCCAGCTTTCTGAGCCTCTCCCCCTAGGGCAGATGTCCCAGTCCCCTGATGGTCTTTGTAGCTCTGTGCTGGACTCTCTGCAGTAGCTCCATGTCCTTCTTCGATCCCAGAACTGGATAATCTAATATAATTAGATTATCATCTAATTATGCTTCCTAATGGGAAGGACTTGTAAAGCCATGCTCTTAGCTTAACAAAAGCGAACTTTAATCCTGCCGTGTAAAACACATCATTGCCCCTACCTCCAACCAAAAGAAATAGATCAGAAATGGGACCATGCTTATGAACAAACTGAGTGTATTGCACAAAGCAGATCATCCGACTAGTGGTTAAGGCAATTTCTTCCTTTTCTAACAGGAACCTACTGTGATGATTGCTAAATCTGAGTTGTGTCTGAAGTTTAACGAAGATGACTATGTAACTGCATGCCACTAAGAAAATCTCATGGCCCCAGATTCTTACTCAGAGCTGTGCTTAATCAGAGTTCTTTTTATTTTCTCTTGGAAAGCAAAACTAAAGTGTTTCTAGAGAGTAGAGGAGAAAAGACTTGTTTCTGTAGTGCGGAATAGCCAAAAAGGTACATAAATATAGCCAGAAAAGGAAACCATCCCCAGAAAAGGGAACTGCTATTGTCCTTGTACTTCTCTTGAAAAAAAGTTTGTGGTTTCACCTTCAATTTTCTGCATGCAGCACAGAAACTAATTCTCTAACAAACAGGTTTAGGAGCTAGCTTCCTGAGACACAGTGGTAGCAAATCATCACTAACTAGTGCTACTTCAGGTACCATTGGTATTCTGGCTACTCTCGGACTGCCACTCCAGAAGGGCATGGGTCTCCCCTTACAAATCCAGTGTCATATCTGCCAGCCTTGTGCGTCAGGCAGGTGTCCCAGGCCCTCTTTCAGGCACACAAATCCCACTCACAACCTTTTAGAGATGGTTCGGTACAGCAGATTTCAGACTTGGAAACTAAGAAGATTGAGCAAAATATTATCAATATGCATTGATAATATTTTGAATACAGTTGAATACCAACCTCAAAATCTGTCATTTTCCTCAGTTAAGTAAGATTGCTGTGATACTGTTTGATCTCCATAATGTATTAAACACTTTCCAGCTCTTGAAATAAGCAAGGAGGTTGCATGTATCATGATCACGGCTGATTATAACTATCTTTTGCTGTAATTCAATTATTTATTAGCAAGTCTACTACCATGAATCACTGTTCATTCCAGTGCCTTTTGCTTGCACTAATGCCTTCTCCCAGTTTTGCTGACTATTTTGCTGACTATTTTGCTGTCCTTATTCCATTCTCCTTAAAAGCTTTTCTCTATTTGGAGCACTGAACTGTTTAACCACAGGCTAACTTCCTTCTCCCTCTAACTTGAGTTTTGCCTCTTCGTTCTCATCAAAATCCCTTTATTTAACCTCTCCTTTATATTCCAATTCTGCTTCAGCATCTTTTCACTTTTTTGGGCTCCACTTCTTCTCCCCTTTCAACTCTTTCAGGATCCTTCGTGTTGCTCATTTGTTTCATTTCCTGTTCTGCCCCTCCTGCTCTGCTGCTGGGTTTTTGCTGCTGCTCCCCACAGAATCGGCTTTCCACCACGTTCTCTTCCTATTGTACTTCCTGACACTGGTGGGTTTCCTCCACCCAAACCCACCCACTTTCCTTTGCCAAATGTCCTCTGCTTGCCTTTTTTAGTGTTGTCTCAAATCTTGTCACCTTTTCAGCAAAGCTACTTCAAGGCTTCTGAGGTAAATGAGCCTGAAGTGTGATGACTTAAGAACTGGCTGCCGATATTGCATCTGCCATGGGAAGGAAAAGGCAAGAGGAGAGCAAGGATGAATTTACTGCTCCTAATATTGCTGAGGAGGAGGGTGGTCAGGCTGCCCGTGGTGTTTGCTGCTGAAAGGAGTTGCCAACCCTCATTTCTCTTTGAGTCCTTTCTCAAGGGTTTCTTGTCATCAGAGGAGTGCTCTACTAAGCAGTCAGGAGATGAAACGTGGCTGCCATTGCCATTTGCGTAACTTTAAGATTTAAGCCTGCAAGATCTACTGAATTTACTTCTATTTTTTGGCCTGTTCCCAGCTAATGAGGTCTTTAGGAAAGCTGTGAAGAACGTGTAATCATCACATTCCTGAAAGAGAAGCTTGTTGCTGTTTCCTACTTGCTTTCCTTTCAGCGTGGAGGAGAACCTGCCTGAAGCGGGCCAGCATAAAGCAGCGGCTGCTGTTCCTTCTTAGAGCTGGGCTTCTGGCTGAATCACTCACCTTAAGCTGCCTCAGAGAAACTTGGTACAGACAAGGTACAGACGAGGTACAGACAAAAGCCCCAAACAGTTTTTATCTATAGAAAAATACAGCTGTATTTGAACATGAAGAATCATTACCACTTGTTGTTAGAAACACTTGCAAGATGAGGAGGGATCATTTCCTCCCTGGACATGGGGAGTTGTTTTATTGGTAATCTATGAATACAGATGATAATTTATGGTAATCTGTGATTACTGTAGTAGAAAACAGATTTAACTTCCCTTCAGACATGCCATTTTTAGCAATTTCTCTTTTAGGCGAATCTTTCTTCTAACTCCCAAAGTTCTTTGACTCCAAGCCATATCTATTTGCTTTACAACCAATTTATCTAAGATGTCATCTGAACACGCTGTTAGTATGATATATGATTAACTTCCAGATAAAAGCAAATATGTTAATATGTTCACATATGAATTTTGTGTGTAGGAAGTTGTAAGGGTAAGTGTATTTGAAAGTTATTGCCTGATGTGCAACCTAATGCATAGCCATCCTTGTTATGCTGCTGCTTTTTATTTAGTGATTATTTACTGGCTTTCTTCCATAGGATGTTTTTCCCACTCTATGACTCGGATGCCAGTGGTCACAATTCTTCATTATAATCCCTGTGTAGTTGTACACCTCATTTTGCTGAAAGCTGTTTAAACAGAGAATCTCAAGGTCTGTTTTGGAACATTGGGGACAGTTATTTTGTTTAGACTTCAGAGATGTAATTTAGAAAAATAAAAAAAGAGAGTTCCTTGATATCCTATGCAACCTTGATTTGTTCCTGTAGCACAGTCCAGGCTGTGGCATTAGTGAAGCAGATTTCATATGGAAAAATAATATAGTCATATATTTGACCTTCTTTGACCATTACAGCAGATCCTTTATTATATGGCGTTTTCATAAAGAGAGGAGAATTAAGATTTTGCTGGCAGTGTAACATCTCTTAATTGCTGGGTTTGGCGGAGCTTTTCTTAAATGGGGGAAGGATTTGTTTAATTAAAAAAAAAAGGAAAAAATATATATAATCTTTCCTTAGCTTGTGTGTGCGTCATCAGCAGGACTGGATACTGGAATGTCAACATATCAGTCCAGTGCCCCTGGCATAATGAGCTAAGCAGCTGCAATGGTGTCAGATTGGTAAACTGAAATTGCAGGGGCTCATTGGCCATGGGCCAGGGAATGTTACTGACACTGTTTAGCAACAGGGAAATTATGAAATTTCCTGATAACTTTGTAGCGCAGGGAGATTTGGTACTGGGTATCAGAGCTGAGGGGTTAATGTGCAAAGTGCACATTTGGAAATCAGGAAGACCCATGCCAATGTCAGCACTGGTGACTCTGGTCTCCGTTGTGGCCTCAGAAGTAAGCTCTGCTGCGCAGTCCCAAATCCATGGCTCCTCTCAAGGACTTGACTCTCCTGCCATCTCTGTCCCTGTCTTTTCCCACCTGAACCCAAACCACAATCACTCTGATCTATCAGTGTTTATTTTCTTCTTCTGATCCTCTGCTTCCAACAGGGAAAGTCTTAAATGGCTGGGATAGCATTTCCCTTGAAGTATTTCCTCCATCAGGGCACAGCAGCAGTTTTACACATGGCTGTATCTATCCTTCTGGAATTGACAGTATTTTCCCAGGGCTGGCAAAGGGCAGGATCTGACCCTCTTCTCCTTCCTGCTACCTTTTCACATCATGGTACAGTGGCTTCTTGATAAAAAAGCTGTACTTTTAAAATAACAGGCAGGAGGAAGGAATTCCCTGTTTGGAAAAATTATCATTCTCAAATATTGCTGTCTAACTTTCCCTGAAACTTGAAAAATAAGTAAATCTATGCTCCTCATCCCCACCCCCACATAAACCCCTTCTAAAAGGTGTGTTAGAAGGTGAACCTGCCAAGAAAAATAATGAAACAAGTGACTTTTTTTTTCAAATTAGTGACCCTGTGTGAAAGACTTTGAGCAACTTTAAATGTCAACTCTATTGTTACAATGTGGAGGAGAAAAAAAAAAAAAGAAGAACCCTCCTTTGATGTGGACTGTGACCAGTGGAGAAAAACCATTTCCCTTTTCCTTCCTCATTGCATTCATGGCCTTTTAGTACAGACCATTAGCTGACTTACTGAAAGGTCAGTAGTAGCAATACAGATGAACTCACGTCTGTAGTTAGCACTTCCAACTTGGATTATCTCGAGATACCTGCATTTAGAATAAGTCTTCTAATGCCAGGCTTCTGACCTGGATTTGGTTTGAAAGCCAAGAGAACTTGATTTTATTTGTCCATGGAGTTCCCATTTTTTCACGGGAAGATAACAAGAACAACTTGTGAAGAACTGCTGTCCAAGAAAGGAAAGAACGGTAGCTATTTAATACGAGAGAGTGAAACTGTAGCGGGAGCCTTGTGTCTGTGTGTTTTGTAAGTACTCTAACATTATTTTTAATAAGTTTTAAAATAGATGCCAAGACAAGAGTTCAACTTTCCTACTCTTCACACTTCTTCCCTAGTATTAAAAGACTCAACATATGTGTGCATGTCTTCCACCAATGCTTTTTGCCTTAGACTTTCTTTACAGTGTACAGAGGAGGATGGTGTTTGCAAAAGACAGTTTATAAAACAGAGGATGGACAAATCATTCTCTGCTAAGGCTGGTGTCTCTTTGCAGACAAGAAAGGGAGCTCGAGAAAATAGCTTAGTCTGACAAAAAACAGTGATAAGAACATTACTCAAAGCTGACAGGTATTGTATTTGTAATAATGAGTAAGTAACATTTTAGCAGCATTTAGGCACTTAAAACATTTCATGGTAGGATATGAAACAGTTCCTTCTTCATATGCTTTTTGACTTCATATCCTTACGACTATTTAATGAAAGGTTTACCTCGTGCTTGTATGGAAGTTTATCTGTAGCAAGAAGATAAACTGAGACAGAAAGCTATATATCCTCCTGTCCAAATTCATATGACAAGCCTATGAACAAGCTGGTCATAGAAAACTAGTATTTATAATCCTTAATTTTATTCACTGAGGTTAAAAATGTATGTTTTTCTTGTTCTATGTTTTACATTTTTCATATATAATGACCTGTTCCTAAAGTGTTCAAAGTTTATAAAACAGTATGTCTGTTGAGTCATTTTTTTGTCTGACCATGTTTCACATTCATCTTTAGCGTGCCTGTATTTGAGTGTGACATGAAATTTTTTAACACATCTAATTATCAAAAATATCACAATATGTTCTGATGAGTAATCAAAATCTCATGGCTTTTGGTACAAATCAGAAGACAGAAAGAAAAATGGAGGGAGAAATGCAGTGCTATAGGGCTTGTGGACAGGAGGAGGACTATTGTAGGGAGAGAAATAGCAAGTAGGGACAAACGGAGACTGCGGTGAAAAGCATGGGTAAGAAATGAAAATACTCCTCACTGACATGGGAGGAGGGTTACTGGACTCTTATTAAAAGTGTAGTTGATGAGGGATTGGAAGGGTACTTAAGTGTCATTAGTTTAATCTACTTACGCAAAAGAGGGCACACGCACAGTGTGTGGTGAGCAGACGCCAGCCTACGCTGCCCATACTCTGTGCTCACATAAAGCTTAAGCTTGGTGCCACCCTATGGCAGGTGTTGCTTTTGTGCTTGTTTGATTGCTTTTTCTTCTGCAATGTAGATGTGCAATGTGGCAGCTTGCAGGTGTTGTTTATCTGTCTAGGATGTTCTGGGCAGACATATGGAAAACCATGCGACTTCCAGTATGACTCCTGCTAGCCTCCCTAGGTTTTCAGTGTTATGGGAAGTCAGTGTATTTATGATGTGTTGGCTTTAGCTTGTGCATTAAAATATTCATTTTAGCTGAACAGTAGAGATAGAAGCAATGTTGCAGATGTAATAACTTTTGAAGCAGAGGTATGTTAGCCCTGTTCACAGTGTGAAAAGAGTGTGTGATGGCTAGCTGAACCTAGTCTGCTGTCTCAGACACAACCAGCTTGTGGCTCCCCTTCCTTCAGCACTGCTGGAGATTTTGCAGCTCTCAATCGTGCATGTGCCACCCCTTTGCCTGCAACTTATTCCCACGTTGAGATATTCACAAAGTAGTTTCCAGTGTAGTGAAGCAACTCTGCTGATGGTGAGCAAGGACGTTAACACCCTACAGGAGCAAGGATTCTCTTCTTTTACTAGGCACCTCACAGTGGAGTCCTAGTCTCTTGTGTTTTCTTACTATCCCAGAACAAGCAATACCCGAAGCATTTTCATTGCTCTGACTCACCAGAACTCTTTATTCTCGCTGTAGTAGTGCAGAGCACCTGGGAAACTGGAGAAATGCTCAGGCAGTTAGCTCATGTGGAGGCCCATAAACCAGGTGGGCATGGTTAAGCAGCATCCCTGCTAAGTGACGTGCGATGGTTGTGGATCGAGCACGGCACTTTTAGCTATGTCTGCTATAACTGTCCTAACTCTGCAGGGCAAAAAAAAGAGAGATGGGCATTGGTTTTAAAGTTAAGCAGATCTAAACAGGGGTGTGCAGAAGATTAAATCTCTGGTAGGTATGATAAAGTAATAGTTCAGTTTCTGAGGCTTAAGACCACCCATAAGTAATTTTAGTAAATGGTCAAACATATATAGTAGGATCTGAAGTATTTTGAAGGCTCTAGTGAATGAATGCATGCTCAAAGTTCAAAACGACATTATTTCATGACAGTCTTGAAAGACAAATAATTATAAAATGTCCCTAGGCACAATTTGTATGCTCTTAGTGGAAAATATCTTTTTGGATACACATTAAAGAGCTGGTGAGTTTTCATTTTTGTTAAAGTAGGATGTAAGCTTGCCACTGACTTTGTTTCTTAAGTGTCCCACTGAGTAGTTAAATGTCTGAGTATTTTCTAACATAGCTGTTTTTACAAATGATGTTCTGGTATGTAGTTGATGGTATTTAGCACTACACATTCCTGAGATTTGTTTATTTGGCTTCAATGTTTCACTGTATTGCAATTTACTATTAAAACAAACAAACAAACAAGAATCAAACTTTTCTGCCAGATTCAGCTCTAACAGTATATGGTAGTTGCAGTAATCTGACAGCCAATAAAAGCATAACATACGAAATGATGTTTTTTACAGCTTTGAAGATATCATCTATACTTATCGCATCTTCAGGGAACACCAAGGATATTTCAGAATACAAGTGAGTAACCCTCATTTCATCTACAAAGATTGTACTAAAAAAAAAAATCCCGTTAAAATAGACACACACAAACACATTACTGTAGAAAATATTTCCAAGTTTGCTTTATACCCTTATCAATTCTTGGCTATTTAATGCCATACTTATTCTTGCAGATGAGCTCATTACCTATGCAGAAATCCCTGTAACTTAAGAGGAGCTCTTATTTGTTGACCAAGTATTTTCTGGTTTGACTATTTCTCTTTGATACTATTGAAAGAAACCATAACTTTCATTACCTGCTCCTTTAAACTTTACATATATCTATAGAGCTGTGTGATTCTCAGGCAACTGAAGTGACAAGCCCAGATAATGCTGCTCATTGCTGGAAAACAAGGGTGAGAGCAGATCCCATCCGTTCAAAACGCTGCACAAAGCTTGAATCTAGAGGCAAGGTGAGGAGACGCCTCGACGTGCCAGCTCCTCCTTTGCTTGCAGTACAATAGCAACAGGACTGTCAGCACCCAGGTAGCATATAAGTGGGATGAGGCCACCAAACTCATTTTATAAACAAGACACCAAGCTGTCATATCGTAGTGACTCCTGTTTATTAACAGGAGTATTGGGCTGAGCATGAAAAGCATCGTTTTCCATGAACAGCAGGATGGTTTGTTAACGCACAAAAAAATATTTTGGATTATAGCTACTCTTTTGGATTTTGCTGTTGTGCCTATCAGCAGCTAGTAACTCCAACACTTTGAGTTTTTTTTTTTCAAATCCAATTTTCTTTACAGAATTCTGTCAAGAATATGAAAGAAAGCTCTGTTCTTTCAAGATTATAAAGCCAGACTGTTTCAGCTTACCAAAATAACATCTTGAAATAGTATATTGATGGCGTTGTTTGTATTTTATGGCAGATACAGCCATGAACTTTGTAGAAGCAGTGGCATCCAGTCTGTGGAGAGATGAATGGAAGATAAAAGATGTATAAAAAAACACCAGAAATGTCTTTAGCTAGATAGCAAATGAAATTAAAGCCCTGTTCTCTTTTAATGTTTTTAAGTAACGGAAGAGGGACTTTCACTGTAACAGGAGCTGATTAATGTGCTTATTATCTGTCACTGTCCTAAGGTAGCAGAGCTGCAAGCACCTCTGTACAGATAACTCAAGATCTCCACTGCTGGAAAAAAAAAAAATTGCTTGAACTGCCTGGAACATTTTGAGGCTCCCAGATCTAGGCTTGCAAAATAAATTTTGGTCAGCTCATTGACATCAGATAGAGATATGATTCCTTACAACTTTGCACTGGCTCCAGAATACATATTTACATACTGAACCTATTTTGCTTACCCTCATCAACATTTGATTATTTTAAGGAAGGAGTTGGGTGGTGGGTTTTTTTGCTATTTTTTTAAAGTTCTGTTTAAAAGAAAGGGCAGCATCAGTGTTCAGGTGGTCTAACAAGACAGCAACATCATTAAACCTTTCTGTGTCACACACCAAGTCTTGAAGGACAGATGCAGGAAATGAGAAATTTACCTGGTCGCCATGAGCACCCTGGCTTCTCAAAAGACACCAGATCTTTTTGCCCTTTTGCATTTAAGAGAAAAATAAGTTTGTGTTGTGATGAAGAGTGAAATTTGAAATTCTCCAGGACATGGAGTATAGTTGACTGAAATACCTAATGTTTGAACTGATTAGAAGAAGAAAAAAAAAAGAATTGAACGTTAAGCCCTAGATCCTAGACTGAGAATTCTAGGTCGTAGTCCTAGATCTGTGGTCAGGGGATTCTCAGGGGAGGAACTGGGAATGTCTGAGATGCAGCCAGGCCTGCAAAGCAAAGAGGGGTTGGCTACAGCCAGTGGTGAGAGGACTGAGGTAAATAAACTTTTTTCTTGCTAAGGTTGGAAGTTTGTGATCCCGGTGAAGGCAGGGAGCATTAAATAGCTTCCTCCTGGCTGCAATGCTCTTGGCCTGGGATGGTGGAGGCAGGTTATACCTAGTGCCATTACCACACCATCAAATTGATGTCCCTACTTTTTTAAGAATGGCACAATATTCTGTCAACAAATCTGTTTAGAAAATAGTCCCTTGGTAAAGAATAAGCTATATAAAGTTCCTATCACTTAAGATATCTGCTATGAAATACTACTGCAAACACACTTTCTTCTTCCATCCTTACAGACTTCTGAAGGTGTTCCAGAGAGGACCTTCAGAACTTTAAAGGATTTAATATACACCTATGAAAAGCCAAACCAAGGACTAATAACAAACCTTCGCTACCCAGTCATGAAACACAAGCCCCCACAAAGAAGCTCAAGGTTCACGTCAGCCACAAATGACGTCTATAACGGTAAGAAATACAAGACTGTAAAGGTCTGTGGTGAACAGCTGTAAATTCTCCAAACACAGCTGGCATGGACAGAAGTTCAACACCCTTGCCTCCTTCAGCTGCCTCTCAGTCCTCACAGGCTCTACACTGGATCATATGTCTTGCTCTTATTCACCTTCCTAGTGACAGTTCCTTTCCTTGGTACTGTTAGCATGGGCTGGCTTTGAACATCACAAGAATGAACACCTGAATCACATCATAGTCTCTTGTTTTTTTTTCTCTTTCATTAAAAGTCAACACAGAGATACAGTTACCAGAAATCCATTGGCAATCTCTACTGAAAGCACTTTTGCTATAAAAACCTGCCCTCAGTTTGAAGAAATAAGGATTTGACATAGAAACTTTTTTATTAAAAAGGCTTATCCCCATGGCAGACAATTAAAATTTCCCAGATGAACAAAGATTCTGGCTGAAAATACCATTATGTTGCTATCTGATTTTTTCTATAGAAATACAGCAATTTCAGTTAAATATTCTCTTTAAAGAAGCACAGAAAAAAAGGTATTTTGAAAATGCTGATATATTTTGCATGTTTTTATTTCTCATTTTAAAATGACCTTGTTCCAAACTCTGGTTCTGTTTTATAAAGATCAGGAACATAATGAAACATTTCCGTCTTACTGATGTACAGCCTGAATCCAAGCTAACATTTCTTGAAGTTTTATTTTATGATAATTTCAGTATTGACAGTAATGTCATAGAGGAGCAAAAATTGGATTCACGGCATTTCCTGTCAAGGAGAAAAGAGTCTCATTTTTGCTTAGATTTAGTTCATGGGAAACCATTCATTCCCAGTTCACAGGCAATATATCATATTCTAGAGAACATATATGTATCTAGAGAACCTATATGTATCAACTTTTCCAGGAGATGCACAGCATCCTGGGCAAGAATTGTAGAGCCAACACAAAACTTCTCCTTAACCATCAAAACGTTTGTTGTTGACATAAGAACAGGGCCCCTTAAAAATAAGGGTGGGTTTGAACTTTTGCTATTCCATTTTAATTGAAATTTCACCACATGGTAGTCTGCTGTATAGTCCTCAGACTACTTTGTTTCACAAGGGGAACTCAGGTTAACATCGCGATGGCCATCTCCTTGAAACGCAGGGTCTTAAAACAAGTGCTTTTTCTGGCTTGGTCCTTTGTGCTGCACCAGCTGCTGGCCTTGTGACATGTTCCGGATTGAGCGTTTCAGTGTCCTCGCTGGAACCTCTCACAGGACTCGGGTCAACAGTGCTTGTCAGGAGCCAGTTGGGGCCGATCTTTTCTAGCCCAGGTGGAGCTTGCCTGCGGGAGGTTACTTCAAGAGGCAGTGGGTTCCCACAGTGCGACATAGTCCTAAGCATTCGGTTTCTGCGTTTCCCCAAGCTCTCCAAAAATACTAAATCTGAAAGGATCTAAGGGAGAAAGAAGGCTTTTTGAGCTCTCCCCCTCTAGCTGACTTCCCTGTTGGAAATATTTAAGAGAAGAAAGAATGTGCTATCTTATAGTCTCAGCAATCTGAGTTGTTGATATGATTTACTGACTACTATAGCATTTGACTTTCTCATGAAGATTGGTTCTTATATTGTCACAACTTTTTAAATACTGAGCTTGCTGGTTCAGGAAAGAACACAGGTTTATGCTCTTCCTGGTCTGGAGGAGCCAGTCAATGGGACACTGGACATACTGTTGGCCTGCCAGAGCAGAGGGAATACAGAGGAGCCAAACCGAGTTAGTCACAAACGTGAGCCTAGCGACACGCCATCCTGTTCGCAGTGGTCTTTCAGAAGAGTGACTTGCAATGACAAGAGCCTTTTGTGTTGATTCTTTTTTTTACAGAAATTGAAGAGGAGGATTATGTTGTTGTCCTACCCTAAAGGATCTACACCTGGTGATTTGGGAAGCTGCCCTTTCAGACTGTTGTGCCACAGCACAACAGATCAGCTGGAGACAGTTATCAGGCGGGCATTCCCAGGCGTGCATCTAGACATCTGGAATTAACTCCGTTTGGAGCCTATCAGAGCAACTGTCTTTTGCTCCAGTAATCCCATACAAGATGCTATTTTTCCATAGCATAAAGAAGATTGTTTGTCTGTTTTGGATTTTAGGCAGCGAACTGTGCGGTGTGCCTCCTGCTAAAATGAACAACTTGATAGAAAACAGCAATATAAGCATGATAAATGAATGTGTATAAAGGAGAATTAATGTATAATGTGTATAAAGCAGAACTGATATGTAATTGATGCAAAACGATAAAATGACATACATGGTGATAAAAGTTCCATTGAAATGGTTAAAAAAAAAATAGAAACTCTGTTGTCTGTTTATGCTGCCTCCGTGCTGGTAAGCAGCTAGCCATCTCCGCTATAGATATGCCATGGCATACTAGTATGAGCCTGTAGTTTGAAATAGTCTAAATTAGAACAAAAGGTTACTGATAAATACATGGTGCACATTTTTCATGCTAAAGTTAATAGCTCTCGTAGCTAGCTTCACTAGAGGAGTGAAAGCTTTACATGTGTGTGGTTATGAACAAATCATTCTGAATATTTAATGTACACATGCAAATATTTACAACATTGATTTGCCACTGTGATTGCTTGTATTGTTATGTGCATATTTTCATTATTTTGTTGTAAGAATTTACTTTGACCTAACTCCTCATTTTAAATATTTAGCACACACTTTTGTACTGAAGGTGACCTGCACCTAGTAGCCAAAGCCAGGAATATAATTTATGTCCTGATTCCCCCTGTTAATAGTACCAATGTGTGATCTTATAGAAGATGATTAAATTTGCCATGTGTTTGTTTAGTATCTTTCATAAGTTATTTATGTATTCCATAAGGGTAATATTAGCTATAATGCTTTTTCTTCTTCTTCTTGTATATTTTTTTCACTAGTATTTGTTGTGGGACTTTTAGATGTTACACTGCTTGGGACTTCACGGTGAACCTACACTGCTAACAGTTCTGATGTCAGGCTTAACTGGTAGTTATAGCATGAAAGAGATGGACACTGGGAATAGTAATTAACTCAGCCATTGTCAAAATTACTAATCTATGTGTCCGAAATTCATGAATTGAAAAAGTAGTCACCTGTGACAAATAGTACCATTAAAGGAGAAAAATCATACTCTGTAGAGTATGCAAGGATGCCTCTCTGCCAGCACAGCTCACCAGCCTGCCTCACCTTGGTCATCATAGGGATCAGACTGAGCATTAGCTGTGGTGACATCCCCCCACCACCACCTGCACTAGTTGGTAACAGTCTACATCTCCACGCGGTTTCATCTTTTTTTCTTTTTTCAATGCAATGAGACACAGCTGTTGTTCATGCACTAGTCACCCACACCGACATCCAACCTTATGGAAAGGCTGGGTGACCGCAGGGCATCTCAGGTTGCCTACAGGAGCCCTACCGAGCGACTGCCGACACATGAAACACATGGGGAGATGAATGAGGCACGTAACCCGTGAAGGAATGAGTACTCAAAAGCAGGGGGCGAGGAAGCAGACTGAATTGCTCCTGTGTACTTTATAAGAAAATACTGTTTTCAGTATGAGGGCGGAGGGCTTAATATATACGTTCCTAACTTTTTCACAGACCTGGTACCTTACAAAATATAATAATAATAATAATTTTAAAAAAGCTCCAAGTTTCCGTTTCCAAAAAGCTCAAAAAA